CACTGAGCTCTGTCTTTATACTGCTGAATGTTGAAATCAGGCTTCCAGTAGGCGTGTTTGCTCTGAAGATTGAAATGAGGCTTGTAGTGGGAGTGGCTGATCTGTGAAATTGATGGGTGGGAAAGAGGTGGAGTTGCAGAGTGGGGCGGTACTAGAGCATCCTCTAGAGCAGATAGGTTGACGTGGATGGACTTGTATGTCTGTATGTAACGATCAGGGGCAGACTGACCATTTGGGTACTCGGGCACTGCCCAAAGGCCCGGGGTCAGTAGGGGGCCCCATGAAATGCCCCTGGTACCTTTTATAGGCTTTTTTGAGTGTGCTTTGAGTGTGGGCAACCTCACAGGGGCCCCCAGATCCCCTATTGCCCGGGGGCCCCATGAGTTATCAGTCCGTCCCTGGTAACGATGTAAGAAAGGAGGGGTGGGGCAAGGGGTGGAGCCTGTACAACTGCAGTCTCTGAAAAGTGTTGTCACCCTCCCTGTATTAAGCAGCCTCACGGGAATCACACTGGAACAGAAAGGACTTTGCGGGTCTTCTGGCAGGTTTAGCGCAGCTCATATTCCGGTCCCCCCCCCCCCCCCCCCAGCGTGGCGGCACCTCTCCAGCACTCAATTAAAATTTCCGAAAAGTTTCTGAACTCCAATTTCTCCTCTGTGGCCCGTCAGAGCATCTGTTCTCTATTCCTCCGCGGCTGAATGTGCTCCATGTGGCGGGTCTGGCACGCGGCTCTCAATAAACCTCATCAAAGAGGAGACTTTCCTATATTAAATCTCACTAAGAATAGAGGATCCCCGTCCCCTCCTGCGGAGTTCCTCCGCAATAATCTGCAGGGGAGCAGAGACACGTGGCATTTGTACGTCAGAACGCGGAATTCTCTGACAAGTAGTCATGTGACTTCTTAGCGCCAACATTTGAATGTTGAACCAGCTCGGAGATGGCGGCTCATATAAAACAAGACTCCCCTCCAGTGGGTACCCCAAAAAGTTCAAAGCATAAGACGTACCACAGGAGCACCCGGCCAAATGGTGAGGGATCCAAACTGGTTTAATTGTTCTTCACGAGATCACATAGAACAAATGACGCGTTTCAGGGGGCCAACACTCCCCTTCATCAGGGAATAGAGGATTCCCGCCCCTCCTGCGGAGTTCCCCGCAATAATCTGCAGGGGAGCAGAGACACGTGGCATTTGTACATCAGAACGCGGAATTCTCTGACAAGTAGTCATGTGACCTCTTAGCACCAACATTTGAATGCATAAGACACGCCCCTTCCACACCCACCCCAGCCACACCTTCATCATTAGAAGGCCATCTCTAGAAGAAGACTCCTTGGATTCAATGAAACTGACGGCGGGCTTAGACTGGGATTTATTACATTTGCGCAACCAGCTGACGCGCTCGGGAATGGTGGCTCTCTTAGATTGTAAACTCCCAGGATCAGCCCCTCCCTCTTAGATTGTAATCTCCCAGGATCAGCCCCTCCCTCTTAGATTGTAATCTCCCAGGATCAGCCCCTCCCTCTTAGATTGTAAACTCCCAGGATCAGCCCCTCCTTCTTAGATTAAAATCTCCCAGGATCAGCCCCTCCCTCTTAGATTGTAATCTCCCAGGATCAGCCCCTCCCTCTTAGATTGTAAGCTCCCAGGATCAGCCCCTCCCTCTTAGATGTAAGCTCCCAGGATCAGGGCCCTCCTATCCCTCTTGTATTGTATCTCCCATTGTTTCAGTCCTCCCTCTTAGATTGTAAAGCGCTGAGCAAACTGTTCAGCCCATCCCTCTATAATAATAAGCTCCCAGCTGACGCCCTCCCTCTAGATTGTAAGCTCCCAGGATCAGACTCCCCTCCAGATTGGGTAACTCCAAAAAGGTTCAAAGCCCCTCCCTCTTAGATTGTACCCAGGATCACCCGGCCAAATGGTAAGGGATCAGGCCCTCCCTTTAGATTGTAAGCTTCACGGATCACATAGAACCGACCCTCTTAGATTGTAACACTCCCCTTCATCAGGGCTCAGTGAACTATGATAATCTCCTGGATCAGGTAAAATGAAGAATTGATAGTACCTTCAGGATCAGGGAAACCTCTGAGAACAATTGTAAGCTCCCAGGATCAGACCCCACCCTTACAGGCTTAGTATCTCCCAGGACTTTTGGCCCTCCCTCTTAGATTGTAAACTTCCAGGATCACCCCTCCCCCCCTCTTATTTGTAATCTCCCAGGATCAGCCCCTAACCTCTTAGATTGTAACTCCAGGATCAGCCCCTCCCTCTTAGATTGTAAGTCAGGATCAGGCCCTCCCTCTTACAGTTTGTAAGCTCCCAGGATCAGCCCCTCCCTGTAAGATTGTAATTACCCAGGATCAACCCCTCCCTCTTTTTTGCCAATTTCCCAGGATCAAAAGGATCCCTTTCTTAATGTAATTTCCCAGGATCTGAGTTCCCCTCCCAATTAGAATTTGTAATCTCCCAGGATCAGCCCCCTAAACGGAAAGTTTTCTACTATATCAGGCGTAATGAATCTACCAGGATCATGCACAATAATTCTATAGATAGATAATCTTTCCCAGGATCAGCCCCTCCCTCTTAGATTGTACGCTCAGGATAACAGCCCCTCCCTCTAGATTGCATAGGATTACCAGAAAAATGATAGCCCCTAAGCTAAGTTGTAAGCTCATTTTAATCAGCTTCGGATTCTCACTAGATTTGTAAACTCCAGTCAGCCCCTCCCTCTTAGATCGTAAGCTCCCAGGCTTCTCCTGGCTTTTAGATTGTATTCCCAGGATCAGGGCTCCCTCTTAGATTGTAACTGCACGTGACACACCTTCAGGTTCTTCCTCTTAGATTGACTCAACCACAGGATTCAGGTGCTTTAGGAATTGGTAGCCCCTCTCCAGGATGAGGAACTGGACGTATTGCCGATGGATCATATTTTAGATAGTAAGCTCCAGGATCACTTTTTCTTCCTTTAGCCCTTTTCTCAAGGAGGCACCATCCCTCAAGATTGTAACAATTACTAACATGATCTGTTGGCTCTCTCCATTGTATTCACAGCGAAAGGCATAGATGCCTTTTTTTCCATTCAACCATTGCTCCAGTGCCGTCCCACAAGAATTGCAGCATATATGTGGTGCCCAGCTCTATTGTAAAGTCTCCTATCTTGCAGCCAAAATACAAGTTGTAGGCTTTCTAATCATTCTTGTTATCCTCCTTTTTTGTGAGATAAAAGTTATTTCACTCGCAGATATGCAGAAATTATCTCTTTATTCACACAAGTTGGAGGCATTACTGAGTAGCCTATATAAGCACAAAACGAAATGTTCAAAGCAACTCCAAAAGCTACAGAGCACTGCAGCTTTTAAATGGTGAAGTGATCCAATTAAAGGCTTAATATTGCTCACGAGATCAGTATAACAAACAACATTTTCTATTGGGGCCAACACTCCCTTATCAGGGCGCAGTGAACTATGATAAGTCCTGGATGGTAAAATGAAGAATTGAATAGACTGAATATGACGGGAAACGATGAATTTTGCCGCATATGAGAGACAACACCTTACAGGCTTAGGCTTTTGGCTCTTAGATGGGTGAATATATCATGGAAACTAGAGCCAATCAACATTTTTTTAGGGTCATTTTATTTTTCAGAAAGCACCCCTGAGAACACCAATGGCTGAGCTCTGTGAACGTTCAATGAGGCCCAAAACTTGTAGTCAGTTAATACAATCATTGAAGCAATATGTTATTGATGAGCCGATGGTTCAGTCTGCCGCTCAACCTAGCTTGAGACCCAATGTTTGCTTTTGCAGACTCCCTGCTTGGTGGGGGCCATATAGAGAAGCAATATTTCTACCACTTATATACAGTATATGATAGCTTCCCGTTGTCAATACTTCATAAGGAAGCAACGGGTGCAGGCGATCTCCGCGCGTCTCTAGCAACCACCGGTATCACTGGGAATCCCCGGCCATGCAAGCCTCACTGCCATTGACCAACTACGGCCAGATTGCCAAAAATCCTCTACCTCCAGACCCCCACAACCACCAGGCCAGGGTTGTGGAGATGACAACCTTGTCCTTATCGACATATAGGGACAAGGTGATGGCCATGGGGGTCCCCTTGGCAAGGTCTCCCCCTGTGTTGGGGGTATGTGGCTGTAACGGAATCGAACCCAGACTGCACTTGGGTTCTTCCGTTAGAATACCCATTCCCCGTCCGAACACCGACCACTGACACCACAGCTGACCATACGAGACTAGATGACACCAGACTTGAAGTAAACCAGGAAGTAGACTAGTTTATTTGAACACAGATACAAGATATATAAACTCAGGGGACAATCCCCCCTCCCTGCATAATGACACAGGGCGGGGCAATCCCCCCTCCCTGCATAATGACACAGGGCGGGGCAATCTACCTTTAGTAACAAGAGACACACCAGCAGACAGTCCCATCAGGAGGGAGGGCTGCTGGAGACACCCCCCACCAAGTTAATACACATAAACACATACATCCCATAATAGTTTGCTCCCAAGCAAGACACACAATAGAACAATGGGATGCAACCACATGGCATTAAACAATCAACAACCCCTCACCCCAATATTAGGACAGATCACCCGGTACCCCTAACAGGCACAGGGTGACTTACACATAAGAGGGATATGGGGAGCTGAGACAGGGGTCTCCCCACCTCTCCAAAGTGAGCTGTGTTCCATGGGCCCCCCACCCAAAGTCACTCCCGTCACAGTGGCATCCTATGGTTCAGAAGAAGGGTGGGGAGCACACGCCACTCTCCCCCTTTCCTGGATAGCCAAGCTACATAGTCAGATTAAAGTGATATTAAAAAACATCATACTTAGCTGCTCTGTGTAATGGTTTTGCACAGAGCAGCCCCGATCCTCCCATTCACGGGTCCCCCCACTGGGTTCTCGGGTCCCCCACTGACTTTTGGATTTTTCTCTCATTCTTGCTGTATTATACTATATTGCCAAAATTATTGTCCCAAATCATGTGATTCAGGTGTTCCAATCCCCTCCATATCATGTGATTCAGGTGTTCCAATCCCCTCCCAATCATGTGATTCAGGTGTTCCAATCCCCTCCCAATCATGTGATTCAGGTGTTCCAATCCCCTCCATATCATGTGATTCAGGTGTTCCAATCCCCTCCATATCATGTGATTCAGGTGTTCCAATCCCCTCCATATCATGTGATTCAGGTGTTCCAATCCCCTCCATATCATGTGATTCAGGTGTTCCAAACCCCTCCATATCATGTGATTCAGGTGTTCCAATCCCCTCCATATCATGTGATTCAGGTGTTCCAATCCCCTCCCAATCGTGTGATTCAGGTGTTCCAATCCCCTCCATATCATGTGATTCAGGTGTTCCAATCCCCTCCCAATCATGTGATTCAAGTGTTCCAATCCCCTCCATATCATGTGATTCAGGGGTCCCGAATTCCATATCATGTGATTCAGGTGTTCCAATCCCCTCCATGGACACAGGTGTATACAATCAAGCCCCTAGGCATGCAGACGGCTTCTACAAACATTGGTGAAAGAATGGGTCGCTCTCAGGAGCTCAGTGACTCCAAGCGTGGTCCCGTGATAGGTGGCCACCTGGGCAATAAGTCCATCCGTGACATTTCCTGGCTACTAAATATTCCACGCTCAACTGTTAGTGGGATTATAACAAAGTGGAAGCAACTGGGAACAACAGCCACTCAGCCACCAAGTGGTAGGTCACGTCACATGACAGGGCGGGGTCAGCGCATGCTGAAGCGCACAGTGCGCAGAAGTCGCCAACTGTCTGCAGAGTCAATAGCTAAAGACCTCCAAACTTGGTGTGGCCTTCAGATGAGCCCAACAACAGTGCGTAGAGAGCTTCATGGAATGGGTTTCCATGGCCGAGCAGCTGCATCCAAGCCTTCCATCACCAAGTGCAATGCAAAGCGTCGGATGCCGTGGTGTAAAGCACGCCGCCACTGGACTCTAGAGCAGGGGAGACGTGTTCTCTGGAGTGACCAATCACGCTTCTCTGTCTGGCAATCCGATGGACGTGTCTGGGTTTGACGGTGGCCAAGAGAACGGTACTTGCCTGACTGCATTGTGCCAAGTGTAAAGTTTGGTGGAGGGGGGATTATGGTGTGGGGTTGCTTTTCAGGGGTTGGGCTTGGCCCCCTAGTTTCAGTGAAGGGAACTCTGTGGGAAGAGTTTGGGGATGGCCCCTTCCTGTTCCAACATGACTGCCCACCAGTGCACAAAGCAAGGTCCATAAAGACATGGAGGAGCCAGTTTGGGGTGGAGGAACTTGACTGTCCTGCACAGAGTCCTGACCTCAACCCCATAGAACACCTTTGGGATGAATTAGAGCGGAGACTGCGAGCCAGGCCTCCTCCCCCGACATCAGTGCCCCTCCCCCGACATCAGTGCCTGACCTGACAAATGTGCTTCTGGAAGAATGGTCCAACCTTCCCATAGACACCCTCCTAAACCTTGTGGACGGCCTTCCCAGAAGAGTTGAAGCTGTTATAGCTGCAAAGGGCGGGGCCAACTCAATATTGAACCCTACGGACTAAGACTGGGGGGCCATTAAAGTTCATGTGCGTGGAAAGGGCGGGGCCAACTCAATATTGAACCCTACGGACCAAGACTGGGGGGCCATTAAAGGTCATGTGCGTGGAAAGACCGGCGGCCCAATATTTGAACCCTACGGACTAAGACTGGGGGGCCATTAAAGGTCATGTGTGTGGGAAGGCCGGCGGCCTAATACTTGGGGCAATATAGTGTATATATGGGGGGGGCGGGGACAATACTTGGGGCAATATAGTGTATATACGGGGGGGGCGGGGGACAATACTTGGGGCAATATAGTGTATATACGGGGGGGGCGGGACAATACGTGGGTTAATATAGTGTATATACGGGGGGGGGGGGACAATACTTGGGGCAATATAGTGCATATACAGGGGGGGGCGGGGACAATACTTGGGGCAATATCGTGTATGTACAGGGGGGGGGGGGGGGTGCGGGGACAATACTGGGGGCAATATAGTGTATATACAGGGGGGGGGGGGGGGGACAACACTTGGGGGCAATATAGTGTATATACAGGGGGGGGGCGGGGACAACACTTGGGGCAATATAGTGTTTATACAGGGGGGGGGGGGCAGGGGACAACACTTGGGGCAATATAGTGTATATACAGGGGGGGGGGCGGGGACAACACTTGGGGCAATATAGTGTATATACGGGGGGGGGGGGGGGGGGGGGTCGGGGACAACACTTGGGGGGGGCAATATAGTGTATATACAGGGGGGGGGGGGGGGGGGGCGGGGACAACACTGGGGGCAATATAGTGTATATACAGGGGGGGGGCGGGGACAACACTGGGGGCAATATAGTGTATATACAGGGGGGGGGGCGGGGACAACAACTGGGGGCAATATAGTGTATATACAGGGGGGGGGCGGGGACAACACTGGGGGGCAATATAGTGTATATACAGGGGGGGGGGCGGGGACAACACTGGGGGCAATATAGTGTATATACAGGGGGGGGGGGGACACAATACTTGGGGCAATATAGTGTATGTACAGGGGGGGGGGGCGGGGGACAATACTTGGGGCAATATAGTGTATATACAGGGGGGGGGGGGCGGGGGGGGGGGGGGGGACAACACTTGGGGCAATATAGTGTATATACAGGGGGGGGCGGGGGGGACAACACTGGGGGCAATATAGTGTATATACAGGGGGGGGGGGCGGGGACAACACTGGGGGCAATATAGTGTATATACAGGGGGGGGGGGCGGGGGGGGGGGGACAACACTGGGGGCAATATAGTGTATATACAGGGGGGGGGGGGGCGGGGACAACACTGGGGGCAATATAGTGTATATACAGGGGGGGGGGGGGGCGGGGGGACAACACTGGGGCAATATAGTGTATGTAGAACAACAAACATGAAATTTTAAAAGAAATAAAAATGTTAGTCTAAATTGCTGGCAAATGACATTTCTTGGGCAGTTTATTAGTTTTTAATGAAAAAATATTAAAATAATAATCATAAATAAATATAATAATACATGAAATAAAATGACCTTCGGAAGGGTCTGTGCGCCATTTTCTTTTTATAGAAGCAAGAAGAGAAATGTCATTTGCCGGCAATTTAAAACCACTTTTCCTGGAAATGTCTGCTTTACAAAAAAAAAAAAAAAAAAAAATAAAAAAGAAATCCCGCTGTCAGCCAAATGGAATATTTTTAACCACTTGTGGACTGCGGTCAGTCAACCCAAACGGGCGCATTCCTGTATGTCGCTGGTCTCCTCTGGGGCTCCTCTGTGCATGCTCCTGTTGGTGTACACAGCGGGAGTTTTCCAGCACTTCCTGGCTCATGGTTCAAGGCCGGCACCAGCTGATCACAATCAACACGGAGCTCTGTAGGGGGGGAGGGGGGTGGGGGGGGGGGGCAGAGAGATTTTTAGTAAAAAGGAGCACACATTAACACTTGTTGGGGACACACTTAACCCCTTGATTGCCCCTAGATGTTAACCCCTTCCCAGCCAGTGTCATTGGTATTATCACTGATCACTGTATGAGTGTCACTGGTGATGTCAGTTCCCACCCAGTGTCAGTTAGTGTCAGATTGCCTGCCACAATATCAAATGTAGTATAAAACAATCCATTATATATACTATAGTTCGAAGACTCTATACCTCTCAAGCCAACCAATCGATTGGAATATTTTTTTTAAACCAAAAATATGTAGCAGAATATACTTTGGCCTAAACTTATGAAGAAATTTGTTTTTTCAAATGTTTTATAGCAGAAAGTAAAAAATATAGTTTTTTTTTTTTCAAAATGTTCTGTGTTTTTTTCGTTTATATATTTAAAATAGACCCGGTGGTGATCAAATACCTTTCAAATGTTTCTTTTTCATTTTAAACTTTTTAAATTTGTTGCAATTATTTCCACATCTCTAAGTGTTCTATGTGTTAAAACAGAACCATCTGTTACGTTGTGTCTTTGTATCCTCTGTAATCAGACGAGCAGCGACTGCACACGGGGTGGAGAGAGCTGCCCGAGGTGAAACCGGCTATTTCCCTTGATGAGGGGTTCAGTTTTCATCTCCATGCCGGCTACATAATTGCAGAATTTCTGTGGATTGGAGAGGATTTGGTTTTTCCTGGGCTGGATTCAGCCAACATTTTAAAGTGGACCTGTCATCAGATATTTTTTTTTTATGTTAAATCCTTCCTCTGGCCTTCCCCTCAGTCTTGCACAGGTGGACCAGCTCCTCCCTTGCTTCAGTCTTGCACAGTGTACTGTACCGGGTTGTACCTCCCCCCCTTCAGTCTTGCACAGGTGTACCGGCTCCTCCCCTTCAGTCTTGCACAGGTGTACTGGCTCCTCCCCTTCAGTCTTGCACAGGTGTAGCGGCTCCTCCTTTCAGGTCTTGCACAGTTATACTGGCTCCTCCCCCTCAGTCTTGCACAAGTGTACTGGCTCCTCCCCTTCTGCCCTGCACAGGTGTAATGGCTCCTCCCCCTCAGTCTTGCACAAGTGTACTGGCTCCTCCCCTTCTGCCCTGCACAGGTGTTCCGGCTCCTCCCCTTTAGTCTTGCACAGGTGTACCGGCTCCTCCCCCTTCAGTCTTGCACAGGTGTACCGGCTCCCTCTCCTTCAGTCTTGCACAGGTGTGCCGGCTCCTCCCCTTCAGTCTTGCACAGGTGTACTGGCTCCTCCCCTTCAGTCTTGCACAGGTGTTCCAGCTCCTCCGCTTCAGTCTTGCACAGGTGTTCCGGCTCCTCCCCTTCAGTCTTGCACAGGTGTTTTCCAGCTCCTCCCTCCCCCCCTCAGTCTTGCACAGGTGTACGACTCCTCCCCTTCAGTCTGGCACTGGTGTTCCGGCTCCTCCCCTTCAGTCTTGCACAGGTGTTCCGGCTCCCCTCCTTCAGTCTTGCACAGGTGTGGGTGTTCGGGCTCCTCCCCTTCAGTCTTGCACAGGTGTACCGGCTCCTCCCCTTCAGTCTTGCACAGGTGTACCGGCTCCCCTCCTTCAGTCTTGCACAGGTGTTGGCGGCTCCTCCCCTTCAGTCTTGCACAGGTGTACCGGCTCCTCCCCTTCAGTCTTGCACAGGTGTACCGGCTCCTCCCCTTCAGTCTTGCACAGGTGTTCCGGCTCCTCCCCCTTCAGTCTTGCACAGGTGTTCCGGCTCCTCCCCTTCAGTCTTGCACAGGTGTACCGGCTCCTCCCCTTCAGTGTTGCACAGGTGTTCCGGCTCCTCCCCTTCAGTCTTGCACTGGTGTTCCGGCTCCTCCCCTTCAGTCTTGCACAGGTGTTCCGGCTCCTCCCCTTCAGTCTTGCACAGGTGTTCCGGCTCCTCCCCTTCAGTCTTGCACAGGTGTTCCGGCTCCTCCCCTTCAGTCTTGCACAGGTGTTCCGGCTCCTCCCCTTCAGTCTTGCACAGGTGTTCCGGCTCCTCCCCTTCAGTCTTGCACTGGTGTTCCGGCTCCTCCCCTTCAGTCTTGCACAGGTGTTCCGGCTCCTCCCCTTCAGTCTTGCACAGGTGTTCCGGCTCCTCCCCTTCAGTCTTGCACAGGTGTTCCGGCTCCTCCCCTTCAGTCTTGCACAGGTGTTCCGGCTCCTCCCCTTCAGTCTTGCACAGGTGTTCCGGCTCCTCCCCTTCAGTCTTGCACTGGTGTTCCGGCTCCTCCCCTTCAGTCTTGCACAGGTGTTCCGGCTCCCCCCCTGGACTGAATTAGCTTAATCTGCTTTCATGGCACACTGGGATCTTGCATAGAAACCAATCAGCTTCCAGGTTTTATTGTGAACGTTTCAATGAAGAAACTGAAGCTAGAAGCTGATTGGCTCCCATGCACAGTTGCACCAGATTCTGCACTCTCCAGTTTTAGTAAATCCCCCCCAATGTATACTTCCCATAGATCTAATGATGCAATGGGATTTGTTTACTCAGACTGGAGAGTGCAGAATCTGGAGAAGCTGTGTATGGGAGCCAATCAGCTTCTAGCTTCAGCTTCTTCATTGAGGCTCTGACAATAAAACCTGGAAGCTGATTGGTTTCTATGCAGAGCTGCACCAGATGTTGCACTCTCTAGTCCCCAATGTATCCTTCCTCTAGATATAATGATACAATGTATCCTTCCTACATATGTGTTACTATGTATACTGCATCTCTGTCTGTTCTCAGCATGTTGGCTGTCGGTGGAGTTGTGTTCAAGCAGGGAGTTGGCGGGGAAGCCTCCCCACTGCCAGAATACAATGGCACAGCGGGAGGATTCCCCATCCACATTGAATGTGTTGATGGGGGAATTGGTTCTTTTTTTTTGTTGTTTAACCCGCAGGCTTAATACCAGAAACCCGGCGCTGTGTGTGTCCAGAGTAAGGGATTCCATACATTCTATTACTCCAGTAAGGAGGCTGAAGGTGGAGGCTGTGAGTGATGGTGGCACCCTGCTGGCTGTACAGTCCGGTGGGGGAGGGGGGTGTAAATCGCAAAGCTGGCTGAAGTTCTGATCAGAATTGGGAACATTTGGGCCGGTACCGGCGGATTCGTGTCTACAGATCCCATCCGTCTGCTGGGAAGTGAAAAGCATCAAATAAAAGGCAGCAAAGTCTCCTCCTGGATGATGTGGGAATGTTGGCAGCCATGTCGGTGACCCGCGGCTGACCTGAGCGCCGCTGGAAATGCTGGAAGCAGCAGAAAAGAAGATTCTAGTGTTTGCACGGAACTCCTGGCAGGAAACCACATGGGTTCACCTCTCCGAAAGAGGGGCCCACCGCCGGCCAGACATTTCCAGACACTCAGAGAGGAGGAATGAGCAGAAACATCACAAGGAACCACCTGCGTGCTGAGGCACCGCCGAACGCTGCTCCACGCCGAATGCTGCTCCACGCCGAACGCTGCTCCACGCCAGCCGCTGCTCCACGCCGAACGCTGCTCCACGCCGAACGCTGCTCCACGCCGAATGCTGCTCCACGCGAGCCGCTGCTCCACGCCGAACGCTGCTCCACGCCGAACGCTGCTCCACGCCGAACGCTGCTCCACACCAGCCGCTGCTCCACGCCAGCCGCTGCTCCACGCCGAACGCTGCTCCACGCCAGCCGCTGCTCCACGCCAGCCGCTGCTCCACGCCGAACGCTGCTCCACGCCGAACGCTGCTCCACGCCGAACGCTGCTCCACGCCAGCTGCTGCTCCACGCCAGCCGCTGCTCCACGCCAGCCGCTGCTCCACGCCGAACGCTGTTCCACGCCAGCCGCTGCTCCACGCCAGCTGCTGCTCCACGCCAGCCGCTGCTCCACGCCAGCCGCTGCTCCACGCCGAACGCTGCTCCACGCCAGCTGCTGCTCCACGCCAGCTGCTGCTCCACGCCAAACGCTGCTCCACGCCGAATGCTGCTCCACGCCAGCTGCTGCTCCACGCCAGCCGCTGCTCCACGCCGAACGCTGCTCCACGCCAGCCGCTGCTCCATGCCGAACGCTGCTCCACGCCGAACGCTGCTCCACGCCGAACGCTGCTCCACGCCAGCCGCTGCTCCACGCCAGCCGCTGCTCCACGCCGAACGCTGCTCCACGCCGAATGCTACTCCACGCCAGCCGCTGCTCCACGCCGAACGCTGCTCCACGCCGAATGCTGCTCCACGCCAGCCGCTGCTCCACGCCAGCCGCTGCTCCACGCCGAACGCTGCTCCACGCCAGCCGCTGCTCCACGCCAGCCGCTGCTCCACGCCGAATGCTGCTCCACGCCAGCCGCTGCTCCACGCCAGCCGCTGCTCCACGCCGAACGCTGCTCCACGCCAGCCGCTGCTCCACGCCGAACGCTGCTCCACGCCAGCCGCTGCTCCACGCCGAACGCTGCTCCACGCCAGCCGCTGCTCCACGCCAGCCGCTGCTCCACGCCGAACGCTGCTCCACGCCGAACGCTGCTCCACGCCAGCTGCTGCTCCACGCCAGCTGCTGCTCCACGCCAGCCGCTGCTCCACGCCGAACGCTGCTCCACGCCGAATGCTGCTCCACGCCAGCCGCTGCTCCACGCCGAACGCTGCTCCACGCCGAATGCTGCTCCACGCCAGCCGCTGCTCCACGCCAGCCGCTGCTCCACGCCGAACGCTGCTCCACGCCAGCCGCTGCTCCATGCCAGCCGCTGCTCCACGCCGAATGCTGCTCCACGCCAGCCGCTGCTCCACGCCAGCCGCTGCTCCACGCCAGCCAGCCGCTGCTCCACGCCGAACGCTGCTCCACGCCAGCCGCTGCTCCACGCCGAACGCTGCTCCACGCCAGCGCTGCTCCACGCCGAACGCTGCTCCACGCCAGCCGCTGCTCCACGCCAGCCGCTGCTCCACGCCGAACGCTGCTCCACGCCGAACGCTGCTCCACGCCAGCTGCTGCTCCACGCCAGCCGCTGCTCCACGCCGAACGCTGCTCCACGCCAGCTGCTGCTCCACGCCAGCCGCTGCTCCACGCCGAACGCTGCTCCACGCCGAATGCTGCTCCACGCCAGCTGCTGCTCCACGCCAGCCGCTGCTCAACGCCGAACGCTGCTCCACGCCAGCCGCTGCTCCACGCCGAACGCTGCTCCACGCCGGCCGCTGCTCCACGCCGAACGCTGCTCCACGCCAGCCGCTGCTCCACGCCAGCCGCTGCTCCACGCCGAACGCTGCTCCACGCCGAACGCTGCTCCACGCCGGCCGCTGCTCCACGCCGAACGCTGCCCACGCCGAACGCTGCTCCACGCCAGCCGCTGCTCCACGCCGAACGCTGCTCCACGCCGAACGCTGCTCCACGCCAGCCGCTGCTCCACGCCAGCCGCTGCTCCACGCCGAACGCTGCTCCACGCCGAACGCTGCTCCACGCCAAACGCTGCTCCATGCCGAACGCTGCTCCACGCCGAACGCTGCTCCACGCCGAACGCTGCTCCACACCAGCCGCTGCTCCACGCCAGCCGCTGCACCACGCCGAACGCTGCTCCACGCCAGCCGCTGCTCCACGCCGAACGCTGCTCCACGCCGAACGCTGCTCCACGCCGGCCGCTGCTCCATGCCGAACGCTGCTCCACGCCGAACGCTGCTCCACACCAGCCGCTGCTCCATGCCAGCCGCTGTTTAGTCTGCAGAATGTCAAAATGTTCATATAGAAAGTTCCGGTCAGGGGCAGACTGACCATTAGAGCACTTGGGCACTGCCCGAGGGCCCGGGGTCAGTAGGGGGCCCCATGAAATGCCCCTGGTACCTTTTTTATAGACTTTTTTGAGTTTGGGCAAGGACACAGGGGCCCCATGATCCCCTATTGCCCGGGAGCCCCATGAGTTGTCAGTCCGCCCGTGGTTCGGGACATCGATATCAGACAGTTCACCTCTCACATCTGCACACCCCTCCCCCACAAAGCACATCTGCTGGGGGCCACCTGTACACCCCTCCCCCACAGAGCACATCTGCTGGGGGCCACCTGTACACCCCTCCCCCACACAGCACATCTGCTGGGGGCACCTGTACACCCCTCCCCCACACAGCACATCTGCTGGGGGCCACCTGCACACCCCTCCCCCAAGGAGCACATCTCCTGAAGGCCACCTATACACCCCTCCCCCACGGAGCACATCTGCTGGGGCGCCACCTGTACACCCCTCCCCCACAGAGTACATCTGCTGAGGGGCCACCTGTACACCCCTCCCCCACGGAGTACATCTGCTGGGGCCCACCTGTAAACCCTTCCCCCACGGAGCACATCTGCTGAAAGCCACCTATACACCCCTCTACTTTGTATCTCTCCATCTCCCGTCTGATCGATGTTTATAAACAATGTTACTTTGTATCTCTCCATCTCCCATCTGATCGATGTTTATAAACAATGTTACTTTGTATCTCTCCATCCCCCGTCTGATCGATGTTTATAAACAATGTTACTTTGTATCTCTCTATCTCCCGTCTGATCGATCTTTATAAACAATGTTACTTTGTATCTCTATCTCCCATCTGAGCGATGTTTATAAACAATGTTACTTTGTATCTCTCTATCTCCCGTCTGATCGATGTTTATAAACAATGTTACTTTGTATCTCACTATCTCCCGTCTGATCGATGTTTAGAAACAATGTTACTTTGTATCTCTCCATCTCCCGTCTGATCGATGTTTATAAACAATGTTACTTTGTATCTCTATCTCCCGTCTGTTCGATGTTTATAAACAATGTTACTTTGTATCTCTCCATCTCCCGTCTGATCGATGTTTATAAACAATGTTACTTTGTATCTCTCCATCTCCCGTCTGATCGATGTTTATAAACAATGTTACTTTGTATCTCTCCATCTCCCGTCTGATCGATGTTTATAAACAATGTTACTTTGTATCTCTCCATCTCCCGTCTGATCGATGTTTATAAACAATGTTACTCTGTATCTCTCCATCCCCCGTCTGATCGATGTTTATAAACAATGTTACTTTGTATCTCTCTATCTCCCGTCTGATCGATGTTTATAAACAATGTTACTTTGTATCTCTCTATCTCCCGTCTGATCGATGTTTATAAACAATGTTACTTTGTATCTCTCCATCTCCCGTCTGATCGATGTTTATAAACAATGTTACTTTGTATCTCTCTATCTCCCGTCTGATCGATGTTTATAAACAATGTTACTTTGTATCTCTCCATCTCCCGTCTGATTGATGTTTATAAACAATGTTACTTTGTATCTCTCCATCTCCCGTCTGATCGATGTTTATAAACAATGTAACTTTGTATCTCTCTATTTCCATCTGTACAATGCTGAATTTTGGGTACAATA